ATGAGGCCCGTATCCCTAAACCCTAAACCCCAAACCCCAAACCCCAAACCCCAAACCCTAAACCCTAAACCCTAGACCCTAAACCCTAAACCCTAAACCCTAAACCCTAAACCCTAAACCCTAAACCCCAAAACCCTAAACCTGGGAGGTGACACTCTATGAGAAAAACAGCGAAGTGGGCGGGCGTTGTCAGTCGGTGCAGTCGACGAAGGTGGAAGGCTATAGTCCCGGGCCCAGGGGGCTCAGAGTTGAGGGCTTGGGGGGGGGTTTAGGGTTTAGGGTTTAGGGTTTAGGGTTTAGGGTTTAGGGTTTAGGGTTTAGGGTTTAGGGTTTAGGGTTTAGGGTTTGGGGGCTTTGGGGTTTCGGGGTTCAGGGTCGAATCAGGGTTTAGGGTTGGGGTTTAGAGTCTCGAGTGTAGGGTTTGGGGCCGGGGTTCACGTAGAGTTCAGGGTTTAAACCCCCAAATCCCCCAACGCCCCAACCCCCCAACCCCCCAACCCCCCCCCCCCCAAACTTCCAACCCCCCAGCCCCCAACCCCCGAACCCCCAAACCCCAAACCCCAAACCCCAAACCCCAAACCCCAAACCCCAAACCCCAAACCCCAAACCCCAAACCCCAAACCCCAAACCCTAAACCCTAAACCCCAAACTCCAAACTCCAAACTCCAAGACTCACAGTCTGCCCAGGATGGGACACTGGGCCTTCCCTGCTACTGCTCCCGAACAAGTACGAGGCCTGAACCCTGAAGCCCTAAAACACTAAAACACTAAAACCCTAAACCCCTAAAACCCTAAAACCCTAAAACCCTAAAACCCTCAAACCCTCAAACCCTAAAACCCTAAAACCCTAAAACCCTAAAACCCTAACACCCTAAAACCCTCAGCCCCTAAGCCCCTAAGCCCCGAAGCCTTAAACCCCTAAACCCCTAATCCCCTAAATTTAAGAGCCTCCGGCTCAAGCCGCCGACCCCGCAGGAGAACAAGTTTAAGGTTTGGGGTTTGGTGATTTTGTTTGCGGTTGCTGTTGAGGGGGGGGGGTGGGGGGGTGGGGGTGGGGGTGGGGGGGTCTCAAAGAGGGGTTTTTTCCAAAAGAGCCCCTATGCCCTGTGCGAAAACGCCTATGGTCCATGAGTTTACGCGGTGTGGGTGGCCTGTTCCTCCACGGAAAAGCTGGCGGGGTACCCCCCCCTACCCCCCCCCCGTTTTGGGGGGGTAAGGAGGGAAAGAGGGAGGTTTTCACCTCCTTTTCCCATCCAACACGCCGCCAGGGTCGGCGGACCCTAAACCCTAGACCCTAAACCCTAGACCCTAAACCCTAAACCCTAAACCCTAACCCCCCCCCCCCCCCCCCACTTCCGGCACAGGATGCTTACAAGCGGCTCGGCTCCGATTTCAAGAAGGAGCTGAACCTCAAACGGGCAACCGGGCCGCACGTTTAGGGTTTAGGGTTTAGGGTTTGGGGTTTAGGGTTTCAGAGGGATCGTTAAAAAGGGTCCGCAAACCCAAGGGTATATACAACTTTAGGGGTCCTAGGTAGAACTCCATGACAAAGCCTAAGCCCTAAACCCGAAACCCTTAACATTGGGTAGGCCACTCCTTTATGGCCTGGTACTATAACAGGAACCCCTTGAAGAGACCACAGTTTCGGGAACCCCCCGCCTGCCCCGCCATATAGTCACTACTTTGAACGGTTTTGGAGGACGACTCCTGGTGCAGTGTTGGTAGTGGTTGTTATGTGAACTGCTCCCAGGACTCTGTCGTTGAACTGTCGCAATCCCCTCCTAGTAGGTTTAGGATTCCCGTCATACGTGCGCGCATGTGTCAGCTAGGCGCGCGGCAAAAAGGAATCCTTGAACTGGTTTAGGGTGCCCCAAACCCTAAACCCTAGACCCTAGACCCTAAACCCTAAACCCTAAACCCTAAACCCTAAACCCTAAATCCTAAACCCTTATCCCTAAACCCTAAACCATAAACCACTGGTTTAGGGTGCGTCGACCCTCGAACCCTTCAGCCCCAAACAAGACGCCCCGAAGCCGCAACTGGCTTTCGGGCCCATGCTGCGGGGTTTGGGGTCTAGGGTTTAGGGGGTTCTGGTTGTGGGGTTTGGGGTTTGGGGTTTAGGGTCTAGGGTTTTGGGTTTAGGGTCTAGGGTTTAGGGTTTAGGGTTACGGAGGTTCATGGTTCCGTGCAGCCGAGAAGTTCAGGTGGATCCACCGTACCGGGTGAGTTTCGGCGACGAGACCTTCGTGGATGTGGATTATGATCCCATGAAGATGTTCCCGGGCGGCACCCCTGAATAAAGCAGGTGTAGCTTGAACAAGAAGGCCCCTAATTCACTTAGTGAGTCTTCCTGTTGTAGCACCCCCTGAATAAGGGAGTTGTACCTTGAATAAGAAAAAATCATTTAGAGAGTCTTCCTGAGCTAGAAGAAGATGCAGCGGCCTGATTGCTGGGGTTCAGGAAGCCTGCTTGAAGGCTCACGGGTGGTTGTGAGTGTGGCTATATGAATTTGGAAAAAGGTCACAGGGGTTGCCAGTCATACCTATAGTTCTACTTATTCCCCTAGGGCACCTCAAATGCCGAAGAGGGAGGTGTTTTCTAGAGAAGCCTGCAAATCGGATTCTTGAAGCTCGAACCCAAAACCAGCAAGCCCTTGTCCGAGCCCCCGGTAACTCTGTGGGCCTCTACCCGAGCTTCCTTGCCTTCTTGCCTTCATCCAACGGAATCAAAGAGCTTAGGATTTTAGCAGGTAAGGTTCACCTAAATCCTAAACCCTAAACCCTAGTCCCTAAACCCTAAACCCTAATCCCAGACCCGAATCCTTGCTCTCTAAACCTTAAACCCGAATCCCTCCCTCCCCCCCCCGCCCTTGGCGCCTGGGCGGCTTTTGCTGGCCAGGACGGAGCAGATGGAGAAGTTCGAGCCTGGATGCACCAGCACCCCGCTGCCACGACTTTTTTGGGGCTTCGTTCCGCCCTAAACCCTGAACCCTGAACCCTGAACCCTAAACCCTAAACCCTAAAGCCTAAACCCTAAACCCTAAACCCTAAATCCTAAACCCTAAACCCGAAACCCGACACCCTAAACCCTAACCTCAAGACCCTTACCTCCAGGGTCAGTCCTACCCACGGGCAGCTCTGGGGGTGTCAAGGCAGGTCTCAAGGTGGGGTTGAGGGTTTAGGGCCGTCGAGGGTTTACCTACCGGTTTAGGGTTTAGGGTTTAGGGTTGAGGGTTGAGGGTTAAGGGCTGTCAAGAGGGAACCCTTCAAGGGATTCTAGACAAGGTACCTTTCTCACCAAATCCCTACCCTCGAAAAACCCTAAACCCTCAACCCTCAACCCTCAACCTAAACCCTAAACCCTAAACCCTACCCTAAGCCCTAAGCCCTAAATTTGGTAGCTGCTGGTCAAGGCAACTACTACCGGTTCCTGTCGGTGGCGCGGCGGATGCTGGACATGGGCCTTGCGTCTTGGCACGGTTTAGGGTTCAGGGTTGAGGGTTTATAGGGTTTAGGGTTTCAAGGGCGTGTACAAGTTTAGGTGCCCTAAAATCCGGAGAAGATCGCAAAAAAGACCTGAAACTCCAAAATCCCACGCTCTCATCCTTAAAGCCCAAAAGTTGACCGCAACCCCAAACCCTACCTCGAGCCCTAGGCCTTAAACTCTAAACGCCGGCCTCCACCCCGAAACATTGACACCCCAAACCCCTCAGCCCCGAACTGGTTGGAGGGTTTCGGGGGTTCAGGGTTTACCAGAAAGGACCATTGTTGATCCCTCTGAAGAAGCCGAAGGCCCTAAGCTTTTCGCTCAAGACCCCAGCAATTCAAACACCCCAAACGCTAAACCCTAAACCCTAACCCCAAACCCTAAGTCCTAAACCCTAAACCCAAAACCCTAAACCCAAAACCCAAAACCCTAAACCCTAAACCCTGAACCCTAAACCCTAAACCCTAATCCCTGAACCCTAAACCCTAAACCCTGAACCCTAAACCCCAAACCCTAAACCCTAAACCCTAAACCCTAAACCCTGAACCCTAAACCCTGAACCCTAACTTCACAGTCCAAGCGCAGGAGCGCTTCGTCGACAGGCAGTTTGAATCCTGGCCAGACCTCGTGGATCCCATTGGTGGCCTGGCGGCAAGTTCCACTCTGCAGCCCGCTTCAGGGTTTAGGGTTTAGGGTTTTTAGGGTTGAGGGTTGAGGGTTTAGGGGTTGAACGCCAACCCTCAAACCCCTCAAGCCCAAGCACCCAAAGTTGTCTCTCTCTGTCTCACCCTAAACCCTAAACCTTTCACCTCCCCTCCCTCCACAGGCCCTTCCCTCCAAAAACCCGAAACCGATAAAGCCTCAGCTTGTCTGCAAAGGATTTTTGGGTTTTGGGTTGAGGGCTTGCGGGTGGGTGGGGGGGCGGGGCGGGGGGGGGGGGCGGTGTAAGGGAGGGATTTATCTGGGCAGACGGGCCCTTCCCCTCCGTTTTCCCGCTCCTTATGACAAACCACACTAAACCCTCCCAAAGCCCCCAAAGCCCCCAAACCCTAAAGCCCGGAAGCCCGCGTACCCCAAAAACCGAAAACCATGAACAAAACACCCAAGCCCTTAAGCCTAAACCCTGAACCCTAAACCCAGCCTCACGGATTCTCCGCTGGGCTCACAGGCCTGCTCCCGGCGATGATCGAGAAAGGCCCTTTTGGGTTTAGGGTGTAGAGTTTAGGGACGTTCGGGATGGTTAATAGTAGTTGCTGTTTCTTTTGGACGTCCCCTCGCCTTAGCGCTAGGTCTTCGACCCACCGGAATTCAAAATCCTAAACCCTAAACCCTAAACCCTAGACCCTAGACCCTAAACCCTAAACCCTAAACCCTAAACCCTAAACCCAAGACCCTAACCCCCTACACCTTGAGCTCCTCTGCAGGTTGGTTCTCCATCCCCTTGGTGAACATGCTCCTGGGCTTCTGATGCCTTGTCGGACCCAGGTTTGAGGGTTTAGGGTTTAGGATTTTGG